TATGATGTCATGTGTGCAATGATTGTAAATCTGCATACAATGGGACATATAGGAGATATGGTGGATTATCGTATTCGACATTGGAGATTAGTTTGACATGCCGACAATTGGGGACCCTAATTTACAAAACCACCACCTTTCGGGTTTTTTTTCGAAAACCCACCGCCATTGTACTGACAGTTTTCAGAAAACGCTAATCACTCAATTAAAACTGTTTAAGTGAAAATCTGACCAGTGGATCCTGATGACATGTCCACGTAACGGAGGATGGACAGCACAACTGGTCAACCCCGTCCCCGTCCCCCCCTGACTTTTCCCCGCGCGCAGCAGCCAGCAGACGAGGAGCACCTAGCGCTTCCGTGTACATGCACGCCCTGCGGCTCCGGCCAGCCAGGCTGCCGGCCGACGAGCCTCCCAGCACCGCTAGCTCCTACGCCACGCAGCAGCACGCTCGGCCGCTTGCCATGGCCTCCGGCCACAAGCTGAATATGGATGCAGGACATGCCCAAAAGCTCATGTTCCTGTACGGGCCTCTGGCCGACGAAGCAGCCGTCGCCGGACTGCAGGAGGCCGCCGGGAGCAGACCACGACAGGGGTGAGACGAAGAGGTTCTCAGGGGAATCGAAGGAGCTCCTGGAGCCTACGCATGCTACTGGACTACAGGACTAGGCAGGGAAGCACGACCTGCTTGAGTTCGTCGGCCATGGCGGTGGTCGTGCTCGGAGCTCTTGGGGGATGGCGCTACGGCGCGAAATAGAGCAGAGAAGATGGGGGGAAACTAAGAGCAGCTCACTTCGATGTGGTGGGAGAGCTCAGTGGGTACTGGGAAGGCTTGGAGGCGGCGAATTGACGGCGAGGAGCGGCCGGTGCAAGCAGCGGAGAAAAGCTCGATTCGGTCGTCTCCGGGCGTCCCTGCTCGAATCCGTCGGTGAGGGATATCAGCCGAGGAGGCGGAGCTCATGGATATGGTCTGGCGGTGATTCGTTAGCGGTGGCTACGCGGTAGCAAGGCAGTGCTCTCCGGGGGCGTCCTACCGCACCATGCCGCTCGGCTCGGCCACGACTACCCACCTCGCCGGCTGTGGCAAGCCACCTCCAGCAAGTCCCCGCGCGCTTCCCCTCCTCCTTATGTATCCTGCTCCACGCTCCGCTCGCCGCCGGCTACGGACGGAGCCACGCGCATGACCCGGCTGTCCCACGACCAGCCACCTTGCCGGCTACGGCCATGGTGCGCCGCCACCTCGCGCCGTGTCCGACGCCATCAGTCGGCGAGGATTCCGCACCGATGCCAACTTTGCCCGAACCCCTGGATGAGCAGCTCGAGCTCCGTGATGGAGACGACGACGGCGGCGCACGGGAGGTGTTTGTAAGAATGCTTGAAAAAAGAGGGAGGAGCAAGCACATTGATGGGTGGGTCCTACGTCTAACTTAACATGGAGCGAAACTTTCTAACGGCGTGTAACGAGCACCGTCTTTACCCGGGCCATGTGGCACCTGTCATTGGGACCCACTGATCAGATTTTCACTCAAACAACGCTAATTGCTTGTTCAGTGTTTTCTGAAAACTGTCAGCACAATGGTGGTGGTTTTTTGAAAAAAAAAACGAAAGATGGTGGTTTTGTGAATTAGGGTCCCCAATTGTGGTGGTTTTTTGCAATTTACTCATGCAAAAATTGAGGAGATGAGATGTTGGCGGAAAAAAACTATCAAGTGGAGAAGACGTCTGAAGCAGCGCCGAAGATAACGGCAGGAAAATCTCACAAGATACAGAGTAATGCAAGAACTGATGTGGTTCTTAAGCTAGAGTGGACCGAGCGGTATTGTGATTGCTTATTTGCTGTTTTCACAAGTCAATTTAACAATTTCACAGAAAAGTGCAAAGGTGCCGGTGAGAGATGATGGGAACGAAGAGCTTGGTGTAAAAGATCGCCGTCTGGTTCTGTTGACAATGTAACTGTCCAAAGTGTTTCACCATCAGAAATTAAGTCTCGCTTGAAAGAAAAAATGACCTCACACATTATATCATTACCAGGCAAAGCGGTCATTTACTTGATCTCTGTCAACAAGAATATACTTACCCCAACTACAAATTGATGACGATAATCACTTGGCCTGTCTTTTACAGAATGATCATAGCATGTTATTTCCCTTCAACAGTATAGATGAACTAATCTCAGAGAATTCGGACATGCTGGCAAAATACTGACCACCGATTCACTTGTTATGATGTCATGTGTGCAATGATTGTAACTCTGCATACAACGGGACATATAGAAGATATGCTGGATTATCGTATTCTGACATTGGAGATCAGTTTGACTTGCCGACTATTCATATTATAGCACATGATTTTGGTAGCCACTCCCGCGGTGAGAAGATCAAGTCACACTCCAGATGAATTGCGATACAACGGTGGTCAATAGGTGTCATACTCCCGCGGAGAAGAGAGGTACTTGTTGATTTTTTCCTCTGTGTTGATGATGTTCATGTGCAAACTGACACATTAGCTAATTTATGTTGTGCAGGTAGTAATGTTGCAAAATATTGGGGAAGAGTTGTTGAAGCTTAAGAACAAGGTGAGGTTTATTCTTGCTATTATCTCCGGGGACATTGAAGTGGGTAAGAGGAAGAGAGCAGAGCAATTCCTCGAGCTTTAGCGAAGGGGTATGAACCATTGCCAAAGGGAAACATTACAGACGAGCCTGGTACTCTAGGAGGAGCTACAGAAGTGGAACAAGAAGCGGCAGTAGGAGTTCATGCTATCGATTATGAGTATCTTTACACCAGACTGGTTGCTTATAGTCTTGACTCCTCTCCAAAGCATAGTGGTAATACAATCTTGTATTGGTGCTCATGAACTATCCCATCTCTTGCAAAAGTTTAAGAAATCTGGTTGTGTATGCCTATAATCATGACCACTTGTGCAGCCATGGAAGCTGGGACTACAAAAGGACAACAGAATGGAAAGAAGAGGAGGAACAAGCCAAGCAAAATAGGAAACAATTCAAGTGCTCCTCCTGGGAAGAAGGTGCGAAAGATGAGGTCCTCCCACTTCAACAACAAGAGCAGCTCGGCTTTGTAGAGAGCTGCAGGCACTTTAACAGTAAAGATGAGGTCCTCCCGCTTCAGAAGATCACGACGCCCCTCCTACCGGCATCTCTGCTCAGCCAGTTGCACCAAGAAGGACAGCAATCCACATCGATTCCGGCTGCTGGTGTGGCTGGTGGCGAGCAACTAAACAAGCTATCTGGGGTGACATTGTAAAGAAACTGCTAGAAAGAATGTTGTGTTGAATCATAAACACAAAGATGACATCTTCCAAGTCCGTTGAAGCAAAAGTTGTGTTCAGAAAATAAATTTATGAAAGAATGGATATTTCGTCCAAGCACTGATGCACTGATGCCAGCACCGTTTCGTATTTAAAGATGCCAGGATTAATTAGCATCAAATGAGTTGACAATGTAACTATCCAAAGTGTTGCACCATCAGAAAAATAAATGTCTGGCATCGAAGAAAAAAATGACCTCACACATTATATCATTACCAGGTAAAGCGGTCAATTACTTGATCTCTGTCGATAAAAATGTACTCCCTCCGTCCCAAAATATAAGACCATTTTTTACACTAACACAGTCTCAAAAATGATCTTATATTTTGGGACGGAGGGAGTACTTATTTTACCCCAACTACATTAACGATATCATGATAATCACTTATCATGTCTTTTACAGAATGATCATGGCATGTTTTTCCCTTCAACACTACATGAACTAATCTCAAAGAAATCAGACATGCTGCCAAAGTACTGAACTACCATAGCTCCAAACTAAAAAGGGTACACACATCATTCAAGAAAATGAGAACCAAACCCAAGCCCCCTGGTCCATAGTACGAACAACCGACTACCGAATCACGTGTGCAATGATTGTAATTCTGCATACAATGGGACATATAGAAGATATGGTGGATTATCATATTCAACACTGGAGATCAATTTGACTTGCCGACTATTCATATTATAGCACATGATTTTGGTAGCCACTCCCGCGGTGAAGAAGATCAAGTCACACTCCGGATGAATTGCGATACAACGGTGGTCAATAGGTATCCATCCAGATATGTGTGAAGTTTCAATGCTATGCTTCATCATCCACTCTTTGTTGTCATAGTCCCCGAGAACATAAACAACTAGTCGAACCACCTCATCTTCATCTTTCTGAAAACTGGAATAGTGCAAGCAGCCCTGTGACAGCTGAAGAAAACCATGCCGCAGATGGCCAGGGATACGGAAGGTCGTCCATGTTTCCCCCTCCATGTCAACCGCAACTACACAATGTGATGACGTGATGCTGCAGGCGTAAAAATGCATATAGCCGTTGAGGAAAACGGTAGATTGGTGCCGAGGACCAAGAAAATAAAGATTCTCGTTCCATCTCTTTTCTTTACGAACCCATCTCCTGGTTTCAGACGAAAAAATATCCACCCTCGTGAGGCCACGGCCGAAGTCACCATCATGATCCATGAACGCCAGCAACACAAACACACGGAAGTGGGGCGACACAGCCAGATCGAAACCCAAACTTACAGTGCCCCTCATGCCTGCATTGCTTGTTTCCGGCAGCATCACCCACTCCTCCCTCGCGGGATTGCACGCGATGTAACGGTCACCCTCGCCCGTGTAGCAGCTGCAGAGGAGGAGGCCGCCGCAACAATCCAGTAGATCAACACGCCGGTGGTTCCACAGAAAGGAGAAAGATTTGTCTATCGGAGGGCAGCTTCTCCCAGAGAAATTGGCGAGATGGTATGCTGAGATCGGGATGCGCTCAAAGTCGTCGGTGGTGTAGAAGAAGCCAGCCAGGGTTTGGGGGAGCTTCTTGCGGTGGTCCGGGTGGTGGATGAGGCTCAGCCAGTGGCTGGAGACGCACTTGAAGCGGCAGAGCGACTTGACCGGGACACGGGAGAGGATTTCCACAAGGAGGTCGTCGGTGAGCCTCTCGGCCGCCGTCCCGCTGGGAGGAGAAGAGGAAAACCTGCACAAACACAGATGGAGGAAAGGTGAGGTGATCCCTGAAGGAGGAGTACAGATGAGAATCCAGCTGCTTCGCGTACCTGATGCGAACCGAGGCGCGGCCTTCCTCCCACGGGGGAGAGCGATCAGCTGAGGCGGACATGCCGGAGCAAGAAATCGGCGGCGGCGGTGGCGGCGCCATCGACCGAGGCGGACGGGAGGAAACCTACGGCTGCGGGTCTGAGATTCTGCTGCTCCTGCACTAGTAAATGATGAATGGGCCTTCAGTGGGCTAAACTGTGTTGCATCTTCAGGCCTGTACACATGCGGCAGTCACGGTACATTGTTTGGTTTTTCACATTTTTTTCAGAAGAAACTGCTCAAAAAAATCTAAAAAAAACATTTTGTTTTTCACATCAGTGGGCGGTAGATCGATAGGCAAAGCATAGTATTACATCTTCATCCAAAAGTTTATTGTATCAATTCATCTAAAAACATCTATAAAAGCTTCACGATGAAATTATAGTTTCAATCATGAACATGAACATAAACAATAATGGATCAATAAAAAAATTTGGAATTTTGATCACTAATAACTGCAATCTTATATTCTTCATACATGGTATTGGACTAACAAGTCAAAGTTTGGACCATGCATGATCTAGGTGATTGCTTGATGATGGAATTTATGTTCAAATTATGGGTCATTAATTCTAATTTAACAAGAGGACTAAACGCTCGGATAGCT